CGGGGAGGGAGGTGTTGAGGTCGGAGAGGTCGAGGTTCTCCTTCTCGCCGCCCATGGTCGGAGCTCCGGTGGGGGCCTGGTTGGACTTCGCCGCCGCGCCGCCGAGCAGGGGAGAGGGAAGCCCTAGGTAGAGCGGGAGTGGGCGGCGAGGAGGCGGGGAGAGAGCGAGTAAAACCCTAGCCTCGGGGTATAAGAAGGGGGAGGTGGGCGCGTTTTGCGTTTTGCACCCCCGGTGTGTCTGGAGCTACAAGACGGTCCGCGGATAGAGTTCGGAAATTCGCATGGAATTCTGGACTTTTTTGCAGAAAAATGAGGGCTAACACTCCGGTGTGCACAAGGCAACTCCAACGTTGTTGCCCTGAAAAAAAAAACTCCAACGCTGTTCATCAAAATGCCCGACAATGTTGGAACACTTTTTGCCATCTAATGAGAGACATCAAATGTCCTCGGACCAGTTTGGACCACAAAAATCCTCTAAGCCCTAAAAAAGGAAAACTCCAACGTTGTTCATCAAAATGCCCGCCAATGTCCGGACACTTTATGTTGAGAGACATCAAATGTTATTGGACCATTCTGGACCACAAAAACCGCGTAAGCCATAAGCAAAACTGGGGAAACTTTGAGGGAGTCGCGACAATCCAGTTGACCTGCTGTCGGTTGGACTACATGTCTTCACAACACGTGTTTTTTCCTCTAGGTTCGCCTCACTCACTCCCGTTGTCCGGATTTGATGACTACGTGCTAGCGGGCATGATGTGGCCGTCAGTGTCGTAGCAAAACCTGATCATATTACAAATTCTAATATTTTGATGATGGGTACAATGACACTTAAAATACCATCACCAGAACCAGAGCCTGAAGAAGTCAAGCCTAATTTTCGTACGCCAAGCTGGATAATTGTCAGTGCTATTTCTGTCCAGCTCACATGAGGTTTACGTGCAGAAGCGTTTTAAATCCAATGTGCTATAGTACGGTTAAGGTATATTTTGGTTCCTAGTGATCAGCGTGGCCGGATAGTTAATTAGTAAATTCTTGGTTGTTAGGTAAAGGAACTTTTCCTTAGGCGTGAGATTTAGAGGAGTCATAGTAGTACTAGGAGTCATGTTCGGTTTATGGTTAGGAAGAGAGTCCCTATCAGTTTTGCTTTGCTCGTGGGCCGGTTTGATCGGATGTGTGATGCCTATATAAAAGGCCGGCTACGGCCGATGTAAAAGGCAGATTTTTGTATTAGTCGTGAGTTCAATAAAACTACAGAAAACGTCCCATGTTGGGGGACACTAAATATCTTTGTTGCTGATCCGAAGGGATTTTGTTGCTGCTGCGTGTGGAGTCGATCAAATCTACTCGACACAAGTTTCTGATCTTACGGTCTTGCCTCTTTGCTCGACCGGAATTTCTTGTTCCTGCTGCTAGTACCGTGAAAGATTGGGCCGTCAACGACTCGCCATCTAGTCGAGTCTACATCAAGTGGTATTCAGAGCTAAGGTTGTTCACGGTACTGTGTTGATCAAGATGTCGACCTCGGTCAACAAGGATGATGAGGTTGCCGCTGATTTTGAGGAAATAGTACGTCCAGTGTATGCGGATGATATTCCCCAAAATATTCGGGATGGTTTTGACCGCACATGCAACTACATCAAGCAATGTCATGATGCGCTCGGCAAAAGAATAGATGTCCTGATCACTCGGTTCGATGGTTTGGCAGACATCGTCAATATGCCGGCAACGAATTCTGCACCACCACAGACTGCTCCGGCTGCTCCACTGCATTATGCACCACCAGCTCGCGATGGACATGCCGGCGTACATGATCGTCGTTTGGCGGCACAACCTCATGCTGGAGATGATGGTTTCGATGATGGCGTTGACCAGACAGGGTACGCTCCACGACCACGACACTATGAGCCTTGTCCTGAAACTTCCGTTCGTGGTGGAGTGCATGACCGAGTTGGTCAAGCTGTGCGTGTGCCTTTGGATGATGGAATTGGGCGCATAAAAATTTCAATTCCTTCGTTCTCCGGCAAGTGCGAACCGGAAGGCTACTTGGAGTGGGAGATGCGTGTTGATCAAATTTTTGATGCCCATCATTATAGCGAGGAGAAGAAAGTTCAACTTGCTGGAATTGAGTTCACTGGTTACGCGCTAATTTGGTGGAATCAAATTTGTCGTTCAAGACATCGCCCGACGACTTGGCGAGGTATGAAAGAATTCATGAGGCGACGTTTTGTTCCTGAGCACTATAAAAGAGATATGTACAACAAGTTGCAGCGGCTCTCTCAAGGTAATATGAGTGTTGATGAATATTACAAGGAGATGGAATTGCTTATGATACGTACAGGGACAACGGAGGATCCGGAGGCGATCATGGCACGTTTCTTTAACGGGCTAAATATCGAGGTGCAGGATCATGTTGAGATGGTGGTCTACTACAACATACAAGATCTTGTGCACCAAGCTGTGCGTGCGGAACAACAGATTAAGCGGCGCCAAGTCAACACAGTTCCCAGTACCATTTTAAACACATGGCGACGCTCACAGTATAAAAATGAGGATGTCGGTCCTAGCTCCAGGGCGACATCATCAAATCGCTCTCATGGTTCCGTGCAAAAGGATGTTTCAAAATCAGGACTGTCGATGGTTGATTCTAGTGCACAGTCGACCAGATGTGCTAGTGACATAGAGTGTTTCAAATGTGGAGGAAGGGGACATATGAAGCGTGAATGTCCTAATGAGAAAAGAGTGTTGCTCACGAGAGATGGCTATGCATCCGCTAGTGATGAAGAGGCAGTTTCTGACACTTCTAGTGAAAAATCTAAGGATACTGAAAATGTTGTTGCGAGTTTTGAAGCTGCTGAGTCATATCCTTCACTAATGGTGCAACGAGTGCAAGAGGATCGCATTGAGAATAAGGGACAGCGTTGGAATATTTTTCAGACTCAGTGCAAAGTCAATAGCACCAATTGTAAATTGATTATAGATGGAGGAAGCTACACCAACGCGGTTAGCAAGGGATTGGTGGAAGCTTTGAAGTTACCTACATGGAAGCACCCACAACCACACTGCATTGAGTGGTTATACCAGTCTGGTAAACTGAAAGTTACTCACAAGGTGCGTGTGAATTTTTCAGTAGGTGATTATAAAGATACAATAATTTGTGATGTCTTGCCAATGGATACATGTCACTTGTTGTTGGGAAGACCATGGCAATATGACCGTCGTGCCACACACGAGGGTCGGTCGAACACTTACTCCTTTTGGAATGTCGGAAGACGTCGTGTGCTCCAGTCTATGTTTGCGGAAGAAATCAAGATGGATACAAATATTTCCTTGAAGAAGAAGAAGGTCAGTAAAATTGTTGCAAAACCAAGAACGGTTTTGATTCAAGGAGGAGGGGATGATGTGGCCGTCAGTGCCGTAGCAAAACCTGATCATATTACAAATTCTAATATTTTGATGATGGGTACAATGACACTTAAAATACCGTCACTAGAACCAGAGCCTGAAGAAGTCAAGCCTAATTTTCGTACGCCAAGCTGGATAATTGTCGGTGCTATTTCGGTCCAGGTCACATGAGGTTTACGTGCAGAAGCGTTTTAAATCCAAGGTGCTATAGTACGGTTAAGGTATATTTTGGTTCCTAGTGATCAGCGTGGCCGGATAGTTAATTAGTAAATTCTTGGTTGTTAGGTAAAGGAACTTTTCCTTAGGCGTGAGATTTAGAGGAGTCATGTTCGGTTTATGGTTAGGAAGAGAGTCCGTATCAGTTTTGCTTTGCTTGTGGGCCGGTTTGATCGGATGTGTGATGCCTATATAAAAGGCTGGCTATGGCCGATGTAAAAGGCAGATTTTTGTATTAGTCGTGAGTTCAATAAAACTACAGAAAACGTCCCATGTCGGGGATACTAAATATTTTTGTTGCTGATCTAAAGGGATTTTGTTGCTGCTGCGTGTGGAGTCGATCAAATCTACTCGACACAAGTTTCTGATCTTACGGTCTTGCCTTTTTACTCGACCGGAATTTCTTGTTCCTGCTGCTAGTCCCGTGAAAGATCGAGCCGTCGACGACTCGCCATCTAGTCGAGTCTACATGTCCTCTCCTCCTTGAATCAAAACCGTCCTCGGTTTTGGGTCATCTTTTTCAGCAATATTTCCATCTTCAGACTGAACGGTCACCACAAAAATTTCAGCAGCTTCGACCATCTTCTTCTTTGCTTCTTCCTGCTCTTTTATCTTATCTTGATGTTCTTTTCTCCATGCAATAAAACGCCCCTTGCCCATGGGCACGAGGTCACACTTCTTACCCTTTTTAATGGTATATTTGTGTGTTTGGCAATCATATGCAACGTCATGCTCTTTGTACCATGGCTTGCCCAGCAACAAGTGACATGAAATCATCGGTACCGGAATCATGTCGCACAAAACCTCGCAAAAATAATTTCTTAACATAAACGGTACCTTGGTTTGGTGCGTGACAGTGAGCTCTTCATGACCCCAACGGAACAAGTACGATTGTGGACGTGGTGTCTTTGGTAGCGCCAGCTTCTCCACCATCTCGATGCTCGCCGCGTTGATCAAATTCATATGATCGATCGTCATGGCACATGATCTCTCTCTCACCACCACACGGGTGTGAAAAAGCCCGGCCCAGTGCCCTTCCTCCTCCAACTGAAATCCATAGCTTAATTTACTATATGATGATGCGCACGTCATCTTCTCCATAGTGTCGTGAACAACCTGATGTTCTGATACCAACTGATGTAGACTAAACCTCGAGGCGAGATCCGATCCGTTGTTGCGGCCCGACCTTTCACGATACTCCACCTTCAGCAATAGTAGCCTCTCACCCGCGCACGCGATATGCACGAAATAGAGGGTTTGCACCTTACGGCCCAGCACGAGAAAATCAATCTCGACGATGATACTCACGCGCAAAAACAATTTCTACAAAGAAATCGCAACACGGAGGTTTTCTAAAGATCCCTCTAAAACTTGATACGGGTGTCTACCCTTGAAAACACATCGTGTCTATTTTATCAAATAACCTCCCCTTTACAATGACCGGACTGTGGCTATTTATACAAGCATAGCCGACTCGTACATTGTTTGTCCAACACGCTAACCAGACTCCTAATCCAAAGGGAAAACAATGACCTACCAAAACATAACAACGAACCTGATTAAATCTTAGGAAACAAAGACAAAAAAAACTAGTACGACTTCTTCGGGTCTGCTTCCAGGTGACCCCCAGCCGATGGTCTTCAAGGAAAAGTAGCTCCACATACTCTTAGATCCAGATGCTGCATGGTCGTACTTCTCCTTGCATGGCAGAAATATAAATAAGAATCCTAGCTGCACCTTTTCCTTTCAAACCAATGAACTGAAACTCTATCTCTCCAACTAGAATCCCACGTATACTCATCTATACGTACATCTTTGTTACTTGGATATGCATGGCTCAATGGTTGGAGGAAGTGCTCACGTCGCTTCTTTTCCTCAAGAAACAAATCAACATGTTCAACAGCCAACGCCTTGGCTGTCTCGTCATCTTCACTTAACTGAGAATAATTAGGAGTGTGAATATTTCGCCTTTTTGATCCCACCACATCCTCAACATCACTCATGTTTGTATCAGGGCATTGGGTATGTCTATTTTGATGCGCCGCGTTCGAGTTGCCTTTGGTCTTACTGACTAGGGCTTCAAATTTGACGTCTTACCCTTTAACCGAATCTTGCAAGAAAATATAAAACTCTATGCAATATGTGTTGTAATGACGGCTTCAATTCATCTAAAGTATTGTAAACTTTCCACAAACGCCACAATTGGAGCAACTTCCCTCAAGTTTGTATGTCTTCCTACAACTCAAATGCCATCATATTGATCACATCTTATGTAAACTAGGTTGATTGTGTGATCCGCTATGCCTGAGGGATGAGTGTTTGATTGCTGGTTTGGGCATTGAAGTCACTATGTGCCCCAAAGGTTTGAAGATGGTTTTTGTAAGTTATGTTGACAAAGGATGAATGTGATCATTCTTTTGTTTTGCTATGTTTCAAGCAAGTAGTGGTGTCCTGTTGGAAATATGCCCTAGAGGCAATAATAAATTAGTTATTATTATATTTCCTTGTTCATGATAATCATTTATTATCCATGCTAGAATTGTATTGATAGGAAACTCAGATACATGTGTGGATACATAGACAACACCATGTCCCTAGTAAGCCTCTAGTTGACTAGCTCGTTGATCAATAGATGGTTACGGTTTCCTGACCATGGACATTGGATGTCGTTGATAACGGGATCACATCATTAGGAGAATGATGTGATGGACAAGACCCAATCCTAAGCCTAGCACAAGATCATGTAGTTCATATGCTAAAGCTTTTCTAATGTCAAGTATCATTTCCTTAGACCATGAGATTGTGTAACTACCGGATACCGTAGGAGTGCTTTGGGTGTGCCAAACGTCACAAGTAACTGGGTGGCTATAAAGGTACACTACAGGTATCTCCGAAAGTGTCTGTTGGGTTGGCACGAATCGAGACTGGGATTTGTCACTCCGTGTAAACGGAGAGGTATCTTTGGGCCCACTCGGTAGGACATCATCATAATGTGCATAATGTGATCAAGGAGTTGATCACGGGATGATGTGTTACGGAACGAGTAAAGAGACTTGCCGGTAACAAGATTGAACAAGGTATCGGGATACCGACGATCGAATATCAAGCAAGTACAATACCGCTAGACAAAGGGAATTGCATACGTGATTGATTGAATCCTCGACATCGTGGTTCATCCGATGAGATCATCGTGGAACATGTGGGAGCCAACATGGGTATCCAGATCCCGCTATTGGTTATTGACCGGAGAACGTCTCGGTCATGTCTGCATGCTTCCCGAACCCGTAGGGTCTACACACTTAAGGTTCGATGACGCTAGGGTTATTAAAGGAAGTTTGTATGTGGTTACCGAATGTTGTTCGGAGTCCCGGATGAGATCCCAGACATCACGAGGAGTTCTGGAATGGTCCGGAGGTAAAGATTTATATATGGGAAGTCCTGTTTTGGTCACCGGAAAAGTTTCGGGGTTTATCGGTAACGTACCGGGACCACCGGGAGGGTCCCGGGGGTCCACCGAGTGGGGCCACAAGCCCCGGAGGGCTGCATGGGCCAAGTGTGGGAGGGGACCAGCCCCAGGTGGGCTGGTGCGCCCCCCCATAAGGGCCCAAGGCGCCTAAGGGGAGGAGGGGGGCAAACCCTAAGGGCAGATGGGCCTTAGGGCCCATACCTAGTGCGCCTTCCTCTCCCCCTCCACCTGGCCGCCACCCAGATGGGATCTGGGGGCTGCCGCCACCCCTAGGGAGGGAACCCTAGGTGGGGGCTCAGCCCCTCCCCTCCCCCTATACATACTTGAGGTTTGGGCTGCCCAAGACACACGAGTTCCTCTCCTTCTTGGCGCAGCCCTACCCCTCTCCCTCCTCGTCTCTTGCGGTGCTTGGCGAAGCCCTGCTGGAGTACCACGCTCCTCCACCACCACCACGCCATTGTGCTGCTGCTGGATGGAGTCTTCCTCAATCTCTCCCTCTCTCCTTGCTGGATCAAGGCATGGGAGACGTCACCGGGCTGTACGTGTGTTGAACGCGGAGGTGCCGTCCATTCGGCACTAGGATCTCCGGTGATTTGGATCACGACGAGTACGACTCCATCAACCCCATTCACTTGAACGCTTCTGCTTAGCGATCTACAAGGGTATGTAGATGCACTCTTCTTCCCCTCGTTGCTAGTTTCTCCATAGACAGATCTTGGTGACACGTAGGAAAATTTTAAATTTCTGCTACGTTCCCCAACAGTGGCATCATGAGCTAGGTCTATTGCGTAGATTCTATGCACGAGTAGAACACAAAGTAGTTGTGGACGTTGATTTTGTCAATTTACTTGCCGTTACTAGTCTTATCTTGATTCGGCGGCATCGTGGGATGAAGCGGCCCGGACCGACCTTACACGTACTCTTACGTGAGACTGGTTTCACCGACTGACATGCACTAGTTGCATAAGGTGGCTAGCGGGTGTCTATCTCTCCCACTTTAGTCGGATCGGATTCGATGAAAAGGGTCCTTATGAAGGGTAAATAGCAATTGGCATATCACATTGTGGTTTTCGCGTAGGTAAGAAACATTCTTGCTAGAAACCTATAGCATACACGTAAAAAACTTGCAACAACAATTAGAGGACGTCTAACTTGTTTTTGCAGCATATGCTATGTGATGTGATATGGCCAAGAAGAATGTGATGAATGATATGTGATGTATGAGATTGATCATGTTCTTGTAATAGGAATCACGACTTGCATGTCGATGAGTATGACAACCGGCAGGAGCCATAGGAGTTGTCTTAATTTATTTATGACCTGCGTGTCAACATAAACGTCATGTAATTACTTTACTTTATTGCTAACCGTTAGCTGTAGTAGTAGAAGTAATAGTTGTCGAGACAACTTCATGAAGACACGATGATGGAGATCATGGTGTCATGCCGGTGACGATGATGATCATGGAGCCCCGAAGATGGAGATCAAAAGGAGCAATATGATATTGGCCATATCATGTCACTATTTGATTGCATGTGATGTTTATCATGTTTATACATCTTATTTGCTTAGAACGACGGTAGTAAATAAGATGATCCCTCATTAAAATTTCAAGAAAGTGTCCCCCCTAACTGTGCACCGTTGCGAAAGTTCGTCGTTTCGAAGCACCACGTGATGATCGGGTGTGATAGATTCTTACATTCGAATACAACGGGTGTTGACGAGCCTAGCATGTACAGACATGGCCTCGGAACACATGCGAAACACTTAGGTTAACTTGACGAGACTAGCATGTACAGACATGGCCTCGGAACACAAGAGACCGAAAGGTCGAGCATGAGTCGTATGGTAGATACGATCAACATGAAGATGTTCACCGATGTTGACTAGTCCGTCTCACGTGATGATCGGACACGGCCTAGTTGACTGGGATCATGTAATCACTTAGATGACTAGAGGGATGTCTATCTGAGTGGGAGTTCATAAGATGAACTTAATTATCCTGAACATAGTCAAAAGGTCTTCGCAAATTATGTCGTAGCTCGCGCTTCAGTTCTACTGTTTAGATATGTTCCTAGAGAAAAATTAGTTGAAAGTTGATAGTAGCAATTATGCATACAGCAGAAGGCTTATATCCTTAATGCACCGCTCAGTGTGCTGAACCTCGAACGTCATCTGTGGATGTTGCGAACATCTGACATACACGTTTTGATGACTACATAATAGTTCAGTGCGTAATGCTAAATGGTTTAGAATTGAGGCACCAAAGACGTTTTTGAAACATCGCAGAACATATGAGATGTTCCAAGGACTGAAATTGAGATTTCAGGCTCGTGCCCACGTCAAGAGGTATAAGACCTCCGACGATTTTCTTAGCCTGCATAATAAGGGAGAAAAGCTCAATCTCGAGCTTGTGCTCAGATTGTCTGAGTACAACAATCATTTGAATCAAGTGGGAGTTGATCTTCCAGATGAGATAGTGATGTTTCTCCGAAGTCATTACCACCAAGTT